ACTATCTCTTAAAGTATTATTGCTCGTGTAATTACATTTAATAGGACTTCAAGAATCACTTAAACACCATTTCATATAGGTAGTTCATTTCATTCATTTTTTTTTCAAATTAATTATCGTTATATATATGACAAAAAATTCTTACAGCCCCTCCTCCCAAAATTAAATCCTGGATCCGCGCGTGGGCCAGGGTACTGCTATCCTATCACCTGTAGAAATGAGTATTCCTCTCAAAAAAGAAATTCAGACAGCTGGCAGTTCGTGTGAAATGAGATTCCACCAAGCAAGTTATAAGTTATCGAAAAATCAGTAAAGTCCTGGACCACATCAAGCCGTTATAATCGCAGAGAAGTCGCCTTGACTAGGTTGGGAATAGGTCATACAAATTTGACTCATTTATACCTTATCAACAAACAACCACCTCCAACGTGCCAATATTGCAATGGCCCTCTCACTGTCTGCCATATTTTTCATGAATGTCCCTATCACACCGTAAGCTTAAATAGATTATCACTTAGACCGGATCTTTCAGCTATATTAAATAATGGCGAATCAAATATAAAAACAGTTATAAACTTCCTTAAAACCCATCGATTATTTAACAGAATATAGAAATATATAATTGAAGAAAATAATGGTGGGTATCAGTAAAAACTGATAATATACATATCACAACCATTTTTTCTCTTCAATTAATCTCTACAGTCAACCATCGACCCACAATTAGAAATATATATATAATTTCTTTTTTTATTTGTTTTTTCTTTTTTTCCAGAAAACAAAAATAAAGAAGAAACAGGCGTTAATGACCCTTTTATGACGGTTTTACGCCACAAAGCCCAAATAAACAAACAAACTTCATTAACTCTATCATACATTAAACAAAATAAACATTAAACTTCATTTAATGAATTGCATCGATGAATGAGGGAGCCTATAATATATCATTCGGACTTGAAGGGACATCCAACAAGATCTTCAAGATTTGTGATTTAGCAAAATGCTAAGAAGCGTAGAGATTGTTAGCTGCTACTATCTTCGCAAAGATAGGACTCGCTGTTCTAAGCATCGCTGAGGTCTCCATTCCAAAGCCTGTTTCTTTCATGAGGTGATTTAAATTCATGTAATCTTTTCCTCTCAAGCAACATGGGCGCACGTTTAAATAGGCCCGTTCGCTTTAAGCATCCTTACTGAATGACGCTGTTCAAAGCCCAGTCGCGAAAATAAGTTTTTATATCGTCTTTCACTGGCTGTTTGTTTTGAAAATTATCACCTAGGTTGCAAATTTAAGAGATTTTTTGGTGTTTTTTTAAGTCGTGAAAATTCTAGGTTATATTCGTTTCGTCAGGCTAGAGATAAAAGTAATCAACTGACATTTTTTCGAAGTATGATTTATATTTTTCGATAACTAACTAATAATTTCAAAACTTTTTCAATACTGAAACTTAAATTTGGCAATGGAATAGATAGATAGCAAATAATCGCATCTGCTCAAAAATCAAAATTGAACACTTGCTCTTAAAAAAAAAAATCAAGACAACATAAATCAATAACACTAAAATCAACAATACATAGTTAGGCCTGTTTTCAGTATTACATTGTGTAATGTATATAGGTATGCATGTGTTTTTTGCTTAGTTTTAATTTTCTTATTTTTAGGTTATTTTATTTTATTTATTGTATATACTTTTGATTACTATTTATTGTTATTTTGCTTCTATTTAGTTTTTATTTTTTGTACATATAGTGTGAATGTTATCCTACCTCACTATAACTAGTGTCCATGTGACAGAATGTTGTAATACTCAATAAATAGTAAAAATAAAAATAAATAAAAAAACATTGTGTAAATATACATTGTGATTAATAATTCGAGAGAGTCCATAAAAATTATATTCATTTGGGTATTAATTGTTTAGGATGAAGTGAAAGTTTCGACGAAGAGCTGACAGACATTTCTCTAAGTACGTTTACGCTACATAAATACCGTATATAAAAAACTGGATGTGAGTAGTACAAATATAGAACTACATTTTGTGGTCAAAGGTCACTGTTGCAGCAGAACTGTGGTCAGTCCTGTCATTCTACCTCATTCCTCTGTTGTGGTCAGTAACTGTTATTTAATACACTCCAAACATGTCACATTCTCTAACCGAACACTCTGCCCTCCTATGCATTCAAATTCCATTTGGGTTATTCTGTCAACATTTAGATTATAACAACGCTTTCGATAATAACAGTTGTTATATGCTAACTGAAATTGCATTCTGATTTCCGCCTGAAAATCTGTCCTTTCTAGATTCGAATCAGTACATCATGCCTGCCTACGTTCATCAATAGACGCATTTCATAATAGCCCAGCCCACAGGCGGATCTACGGGCTGAAGCTCTCTTTCCTCTAAAACGGTAAAATAGAACCATATCTTATAGAAAAAATATTAAAAAATTAAAAATATTAAAAACTTTCTCTTAAAGTATTATTGTTAGTGTAATTACATTTAATAGGACTTCGAGAATCACTTAAACACCATTTCATGTAGGTAGTTAATTTCTTCTTTCTTTTTAAAATTAATTATTGTTGTATATATGAAAAAAAAAATTTCGGACTGAAGCCCCCAACATTAATTCCTGGATCCGCTAATGGCCCGCCTTAAGTCTTTGTTCAGAAACAGGAGTATTTCCTTTACCTTTTCATCATCAGAAACTTGGTAATAAATAATTAACTAAATTGCTTGCATCTAGCCAGACAATCTATCTTATAATAACATCAACCCGCAAAATAAAACATCTTAAGAGAGAGAAGAAAAAATCCGCTTCTTATCAGCTTCTAGAGGTCAATAAAAAAAAATTTTTAAAAAACACTGTAGTACTATAATCCATGAATGGTCTTGGATACATTACTATTTAGGAAAAGTAGGGTTTCTTAGTCAACGGTTGTGCAAGGAGGTGATTTGACTGAGATCACGCTCAACCGCCAGATTTTTTTTCTCTTAATTAAGTATTTAATTAAGGTTACCCACCTTATAGAGGCTGGAGGGTCTCCTGATCCCAGAGTCGCCCCACGGCTGATGAAACATAATAAATACTTTCGACTCTACATAACAAGTGTGCTTCAGTTAAAACTCTATCGGTCATATCGTTTCCCTTGATGTCGATGTTTCTTGGTACCCCAGTGAAAACTATTGTTCTGACGAAATTTTGAAGACTCTAGAGCAGACAATAGATTGATGTATATATATATATATATATATATATATATATATATAAGTAAATACAAAAAGTAAAATAAACATCTTGGATACAAGCATACCTATATAGACTATTTACAATCAGCCGGGGAAACTCCGAACCAATCTTGTCCCGCCACTCGTGGAATGAAAAGCAAGGCTTAGGAGATTCCTGCGCTTCTCCCTCAACCACTTCACTGGTATTTAAAACCACCAGAGGATGAGTAAGAGCGCAACAGCCACAGGCACTCATGTTTTGAGTGGAGAATCTGGCAATTGCAGAACTCCAATATATCTATATTTACAAAAGGTCTCGAGGTCACTGCCGGTTTAACCTACGAGGGAGATTGTACGGAAGGGTGGTGCTTGATAGGGATTGTACTATGGGATTTGGGGGATGAATGAGGTTATGGTGAAATTTGGTAAATTCGTCTGGGATAAGATCAAGAATAAATGGAATATTTAAGTCATTATGCAGGGTTTTATTGGTTACATAGAAGGGAACATCGACTACGGAGGATTTTAGACTGGAAGGATTGAATGCGTTTGATGTTAAAAAACTTAACTGTTCCCCACAGTTCATATCCGTAGGTCCAAGTGGGTTTCAGTTTTATCTTGTAGATCAGTAATTTGTTTTCAATAGAAAATTTAGATTTTCTATTCAGTAGTCTATATAGCTGAGCCATATCGCCTGTTAAGTTCCTGTCTTTTAACTGGATTCTACGTTAGTCGCCGGTCTAACAGAAAACTAAGATACCGAACTCTGTCTGAGAAAGGAAGCTGAATGGAGTTAAAATAAGTTAGTGGAGAGGAATTATGACGAAGGGTGAAGGTACTGTGTTTACATTTAGATACGGATGACTTTTAAAGTTGAGAATTGATTACAAATGTTTTATCTCATTTGCCTTTTCTAAAATGAGGTTAAAAAATATTGGCAATCTTCTAGAAGAGTGGTTTCCAAAGTGTGTGCCTTCAGTAGGCCAAAAGGGTTGTAAAACATTATAATGAATTAAGATTGTAAAAATATAATTAAATTTAATTTAAAATAAAATCATTATTTAAAATTAAATAAAATAAATAATTAAAATACATCAATATTGTTTTTACAATTCTATTCCATAGTTTTCTTGGTGTTTGTATTTCATTTACAATTATGGTTTATTATTATATTTAATAGAAAAATAATATAATGTTTTGGTATCGCTCTTGTATGATAGTATCGCTTGTTCAAACAAATTTAAAAACATTGTTCTAGAAATTTTATTTGTTATCTCGGACTTCTATATATATATATATTAGGCCCATCTGTATTCGATTATTATAATTATCATAACAATATAATCATAATTTTTGATAATCATATTTTAATTACTTAAAATATTCATCATCTTTTGGCATAATTTTAATTGAAATTATAGGTAAGAGAAAATGCAATGAATGAGTAAATCCTGAATTTGAGAAATAATTTAATAGTTTTCAATTATCACAAATAACTTTTTAATAAATAACATTCTTTAATAACTTTAGATAATATTATAATTCAAAAAGGATCTAATGAATCATTGAAAACAAATTTAATAATCCAGAGATGATTTTTCGCCTCAGGATTGATATAATAATGTAGGGAATTCATGAATGAAGGTAGAGAGAATAATACTAAATATTAATTTATAAATTTATAAACAAAAATATAATCGAGAATTTCAGATATTGATCAAAGCTAGGTTAAGTTAATTAATAAAGGACGATGCTATCCCAGCTCCTTTTCGAAAGATGCCACGCCACCTGCCGGCTGGAATTCAACATATTTCCATTATTGGGTCTTGGAGCAACTTAGATGCCGATGGTGTTTACTTTATGATTCTCCAGGATACCGAAAGTCAATATCAACATAAAGTTTATGTAAGCTAATCAATTATGACCAAATTTCATTTAAACTTCTTGTTTACTCTAACAAATCATTTTATTTCTATGCAAACTGTTTGACTAAGCTCGATATGTTTGTTTTTTCTGTGCTTATCATACCACAGGTATCATTGATAATTATAAATGATACCGAACACCACCATAGAGATAGAACACCATCATCCCCGATTTTATCTAAGTGTTACTTAGAATACTTAGCTAAAAGAAGAATATTCAAACAAATCGCTTGATATGCTATTGGTGTAGTAAAATATAAATATTCTTTTTTAGCTAATTTGGCTAATTAAAGTTTTTAAAAAAGTAGAAGAAAATACTAAAAACTATCTTTAAAAGTATTACTGTTCGTGTAATTACATTTAATAGGACTTCGAGAATCACTTAAACACCATTTCATGTAGATAGTTAATTAATTTCTTTTTCTTTTCAAATTAATTATTGTTGTAAATACAAAAAAAAAAAAAATCTTTCGGGCTGAACCCCTCGCCCAAAAAAAAAAAACTAAATCCTGGATCCGCTAGTGCCTCACGAAACGAAAGAAATCCGAGATAAAAAATAAAATTTCTAGAACAATTTGTTTGAACAAGCGATACTAAAACATTATATTATCTTTCTATTAAATATAATAATAAACCATAATTGTAAATGAAATACAAACACCAAGAAAACTATGGAATAGAATTGTAAAAACAATATTGATGTATTTTAATTATTCATTTAATTTAATTTTAAATAATGCTTTTATTTTAAATTAAATTTAATTATATTTTTACAATCTTAATTCATTATAATGTTTTTACAACCCTTTTGGCCTACTTAAGGCACACAGTTTGGAAACCACTCTTCTAGAAGATTGCCAATATTTTTTAACTTCATTTTAGAAAAGGCAAATGAGATAAAAAATTTGTAATCAATTCTCAACTTTAAAAGTCATCCGTACCTAAATGTAAACACAGTACCTTCACCCTTCGTCGTAATTCCTATTTACTAACTTATTTTAACTTCATTCAGCTTCCTTTCTCAGACAGAGTTCGATATCTTAGTTTTCTGTTAAAACGGCGACTAACGTAGAATCCACTTAAAAGACAGGAACTTAACAGACGATATGGCTCAGCTATATAGACTACTGAATAGAAAATCTAAACTTTCTTTTGAAAACAAATTACTGATCTACAAGAAATACTGAAACCAACTTGGACCTACGGATATGAACTGTGGGGAACAGCTAAGTTTTTTAAAATCAAACGCATTCAATCCTTCCAGTCTAAAATCCTCCGTAGGCGATGTTCTCTTCTATGTAACCAATAAAACCCTGCATAATGACTTAAATATTCCATTTATTCTTGATCTTATCCCAGACAAATTTACCAAATTTCACCATAACCTTATTCATCCCCCAAATCCCATAGTACAATCCCAATCAAGCACCACCCTTCCGTACAATCTCCCTCGTAGGTTAAACCGGCAGTGACCGCGAGACCTTTTGTAAATATAGATATATTGGAGTTCTGCAATGGCCAGATTCTCCACTCCAAACATGAGTGTCTGTGGCTGTTGCGCTCTTACTCATCCTCTGGTGGTTTTAAATACCAGTGAAGTGGTTAGGTAAATTGTAATTGATTGTAACTGATTGTAAATAGTCTATATAGTTATGCTTGTATCCAATATATATATATATATATTTACCAATGCTTAAGCAAATAGAAATATCTAAAATAATATATATTGAAACTTAGAGTCTTTCATTGTCAGTGGCACTTATGTCGTACTAAATATATTTCGAGGCACTTGATTATTTATTAAATAATTAAAATCTAGAATCGTTAAAGGTGATGATAAGCGTATAAACAAAAACTCAAGTGTGATACATTAGACGGTTGCGCATCAATAATTGATTATTTAAAAAAATATTTAGTATCTGTGTTGTTTTACTTTCTTTTGTCTTTGTCTGAAAATACCTATTTTTCATAAAAAAAAAAAAAAAAAAAATGAAAGTTGGGTAATGCACGCACAGCACCAGATTATTTGTGTTCTATTTATATAAGAAATATAGAATTTCGGTAAAATTGCTGTTATATTCATGGTTTCTCTCCCAAATTTATTTGTCAAATTCGCACCAATATATTTTCTGAATTAGATTTGTATATTGTGTTTTTCACTTCCAACTTTGATTTTAAAATATAGAATTACATTTAGTACCAATAATAAGCTACCACATATAATCTATATAATATAACTTATAATATATATATATAACTTATTTTTTTTTTTTTAATCTTTGAATAATCTGCACCTGTCGACAATTGTTAACAATCAGCAGATGGTCTGATTAAAGTAATAAAACAGACTG